ATGGCTAAGGTTTTAATAAACCTTAGTATACGCCCTTTTGCATTACTTAAAACAGATAAACATAATTAGTTACATTTTTCAAATTCAGCTATTTCTAATAATAATTTTGTTCAAATTATAAATAAGAAGAATTTAATATTCATATACAAAGCCAAAATTAAGTTTTTCAACTCTTAGTAAAATGTTTGACATACCATTTTACTTACATATTTCGAGTATTTGCAAATGGTTAATTTGAACTGATTATAGTACAGCTTACTTCAAAGTTATTATTATTTTCAGATGGGTTTGGTGGATATTATAGTAATTTCAATGGTTAAGATCATGAGTCAGTTTAAGCTAGACGGTTAACATTGTTCAATGAACTCCTTTAGGTAACAATAAAAAATCATCCATTACTGGATAATTACTCATTGGTATATTATGGAACTTCTTAATAGTGCGAACCCATTATAGCTTCTGAGATTAAACACAGAAACTTAGAGTCAAACTGAGTTCATTTCACGTTTAGATTGTTTGATTTATATTTTTAGTTTTATTCAATTCATGCTACGAAGCGATGAATATTATCTATTACTATGGGTAATATTTATTTCCCGTTTAATATAACAGTAATGAAAATGTCAATGGTTGAGATCATGAGTCAGTTGAAGCTAGATCACCATGGAAAATCTGGAAGCACTGGACGGCCGTTTCGTCCTATTCTGGAACACCTCAGCAGTGCGCATCCACGACCTCGCCCTTTGCGAGATTCGAACCCAGGACCTACTGGTTTCGCGCGTGAGCACTTAACCACTATACCACTGAGCCGGCATCCAATGGTGTTAATGTCTAACGTCAACTAATCCACAAAATTTAGCAACATATCCACCAACGGCCGTCCAATGCTTCCAGGTTTTCCATGGTGGTCTAGCTTCAATTGACTCATGATTTTAACCATTGAAATTATTATTATTTATTTAGTTCTGTTATATTCGTTAAGTAATACGTTTGTATTGTTCTAAAACAAGTATTAATACTGCATAGCATTGAACCTTAGTATATACATTTTAAAAGTATTCCCATCTTTTTGTAATTATTTAATAACTGTATAATCAAAGACAGAAAATGGAACATTTAATATTAGATAATCAAAGTCGGGAATACGGATCATTAAGTTCTGATTAGATCTCCTTCAATTTGTTCTACCTTTGAATCATTGAAGAGTCATGAATGTACACTGATAAGAAATTTCAATATACAAAGAAAAGATCACATGGTAAATTCAGTTAAATTATTAATTTACACTTTGACTAATTAAGAGACATTGCATAGAACAACGTAGAAAAAATATATAATTGAATAAAAAAAAGTACTTTGTAGAAATTGTATCCATGATTAGTATCCAAATTAAAATGTGATATCTATTGATGGTTGAAAAAAAATATTAAATAGTTGTTTTCTTATGAATATAAAAACTAGTAAACATATAAATTAATCTTACAACAGTTTGAATAGTATAAGTATTTGACAACAATAAAATTGCCTGAAATATGAATCGTTGTAGCAACTTTTTATTTTTGTTTTTTTAAACTAGACAACAGTTGTTCATATGGTTTTCGTTCCAAGTAGAAAAAAAAACGGAGAGAGAGAGCGAGAGACAGAGAGAGTAATAGAAAGAATGTAAAAGATTCAACTGAAATGAGAAAACTATTTTAAATTCATTATTAATTTAATGATACAATAGGTGATAATATTTACATCCTGTAAGGGTAAACATTTTAAACAATGAAAATAGTTTTTGATCCGGTTATTAATGAGTTTGTAGGTGTCATTACCAAGGTTTGATTTGATAATTTCGAATAAATTGAGCATTGGGTTCATTGTTATAAATAAAAATAATATATTTGTAATATCCCAATGAGTAGAAAATTGGATTTTCTGACGTTTCGTGACTTAGTGTAAGTCACTTCTTCAGAGAATAAAAAAAAAGAAAATAGTTTTTGTTGTTGACACAATTTAAAATCCAATGAACTATTGGTCGAGTTTTTGTAAATAGTTACTGAATGACAAATTTGAATTCATAATGTTCTATCTGTAAGACTGATGATTATATTCTATATTTATGGATAGAATTAAATCAAAACTAAGAACATTTCAACCTGGAATACTGGCGGCCTGTTTAAATATCTATCATCTAGATATTTCAACAAGTTATCTGTTTTTCATTTGTTTTAACACATCATTGTGTCTAGTATTCTCATAACCTATTCAGGTGTGCTTATGAAAAGTTCACGACCTTTCGCTGTACACGTTACAAAAAAGTACAATCAGAGGCAGCGTAGTGGCTGACAATATTCACTGAAATGAATGAATATCATTTAATTGTTGATTCCTGAAATACTAACATGTAACTGGTGCTCACTCAATATTTATTGTCAGGATTGATCAAGAAATAAGAAAAAGAAACTTGTTGGAGTACTTTGTGTATCAAAAATGTAATATTAAGCAAATTCATTAATAATAGTTAGTTAATTGTTAATTATAACAGGGGCTTAAGTAAATCTGGTGAGACTATAACTTATGGACGCTCTTTGAGTGATGCTAAAGTGACCTTAAGAATGTCCACTTACTAATTAGGACTAAATGAGGATTAAAAAGTGTGAGGAATCAGAATTACGATTTACAGTTGGTGATTAGGGTTAAAAATTAGATTTAGTGTTTTCATCACGAACCGAAATAAGCTAAAGTGCCAAAATGCTATTTATATAAATAGGTGAATGAATTTCGAGCCAAAACCCAAGACCTTTTATCCCAAATCTGATTGGTTCTCCCATAACTTATAGTCTTGCCGTAAATCTAGCTGAAATCTGAGAATATAATGCAAGTAAATTCATTGTCCGAAAACACATTTCAATCATTTTTAATTAGAAAAGTATGAAAAAATGGATTGCTTAGTGTCAGGTTTTATAAAATGACCAACATAAAATCGTCAGAATGTAAACTATTGAATAAATGTACAAATGTTGATAAGAAACATTAAAGATTATTTAGAACTGCCTCGGTTCGATTTACATTTGAATAGTTCAGTAAACAGTATATATACAACAAAATATGATGATCATTTATATCCATGCATAAATACTACCATTTGAAGAATGTACATAAATTCTACCATCTTATCTCTACATAGTGCACACAATGTCGAGTCACCTAAACTGGTGGCCACATTACAACTTGGTCGATAGGATTCTATCTGCACTAAGAAAGATCTGACATGCATGACATTGATCACCATCCAATGATCAATCAAATGTAAATAAATTCCTCTGTCATTTCATTAGATATAGATTTCCTGTAACTAAAATTCATCAGAATTAAATCGTAATATTCTACATGAATATATACCATTTGTTTAGATATCGAGTAAGATCTTTTTAAGAAAAATATTTCCTAAGCAACATATGTTTATATTTTACAAATGACTATAACAAAAATGTCTAGGTGTACATTATAATTATTTCCTTCTTTACATTTATTTGCCCTAAGCTATGTCTACATGCAAAGATATATATAATAATAGTAAGGCATTTAACATTGATAATGATGAACATTTCATTATTCAAATATTAAAGAAACTTATACAAGTAACTACCATTTGGAAAAGAAATACAAACAAAATATTGACCAGATGTTTGACTACTAAGAAAATTACTCATTATTCACTATCCTCAGTGTAAGATTTAGGTTCGATTTTAGGATTAAAAAACAAACAAACATTTTCTTCATCAAAAACTAGATGATATACAAGTTTTATTTATTAGTTTACATACAATTTAGTTCAGAAAGCATAGTTCTTATTACTTGAAATTGATTTTCGAAGTGTTTTCTTTTATCCTAATTTTGATGTCGATACTGTAACTCTTAAACCAATACCCGTTGCTTTATGTGTCAACTCGTTATCCACTAAACTGTTTAACTACCACAGTCATCGACCTGTCAGATAAATAAGATTATCATTATTGGTTATGAAAGTTTAACAAAAGTTAATCAAACTGATTCTTATATATTCAAAAACGGAAAATATAAACCTTTACAGTTAATAAAGTTACATGGTATGATGTAACCGAAAGAAAAATCCATGTCAATTGGTTCGAATACTTGCAGAAAACATAAGACCCGTTTAAAAAACGTATCAGTGCAAAATACCCTATATTATAGTAGAATAAACGGAAGTTAAAGTAATTTAATAGTATGATACATTTAGTCGAAAAGCTAGCCACAAGAAGTAGATATGATACTATAATAAGGATTAAGTGAAAGGTAGCCAGTGCTCTGAGTTCGAAGTACGAGGATAGCAACCTTTCTTTTCAAAAGTAGGTATGTTTACGTTACATTCTTTGAAGCTGAAGTTTTGTGCATTATAAACATGGTGAATGTCAGCGTTCAGTGATTTCGTAAAATAATGTTGTCTTCAGCTTGCGGTAACTTATATCCATACTATCTTCGACATAAGAACAGAGTAGGAGCTTTCTGAATTACATAATCGTAGAGTCTACTCACTTAAATCAGTGACGTTTTACCTCCATACCAAACAATTTACTTATTTCACTTAAAATTTAGTGATCAAATGACACTACTCACTTATTTGTTACAGAAAATAACTAAAAACTCCTAGCCGGTGCTTACTTTTTGTTTCGTGGGCTATGGCTCACAGGGGACTATTATATACTAGAGTAACCATCCAGGAAGTTGGGAGAATATCTCAACTGACTCATGGTATTTGAATTAATAAAACTACTTGTTACTGATGAATATAACTTAGATAAGTTAATATGAGAATAATAAAACAAATTCATATATCACCTACAATATATTATGACAATATAAAAGTATAAAAACATTTCACCAATTCACTTATATATCTGTCTAGACATTAAAATCATTTTTATAGGATCAGCTGCAGTTTCCCGTAACATGTACATTTAACATCATTAACTCAATACAATATAAATACTTACTTATTCCATCTGACAAGACTGAGGTGTATGCTGTTTGAGTGACATTTCTTATAATCGGTTTTGATGGAGGTCGTGAATTCGCGTCTGTATCTACTCTATTCGAACTAGCATATAATACATCGGTTGGTCCAATTAGGCGATGTGACACTTGATAACCTCGTATATCACCATGTGTTCTTTCAGGTGGATCCCATGCTAGTTCTAATATTGCATAATCTGCTTTTGGATCACTTGCACCGGGTGGAGTAGCTCTTCGTAATTGATTTAAACGTAAATTGCGTGGAGCAGAAGGAACTTGAAAACAAATTGAAGGATCCAAAAAACATGGATTAGAATTAAGAATAAATGGTATGCCCAGATTTTCAGGGCTTTGTTGAACTGAATACATCACTTGTAATAAATAAACAACGGTTATATAAACTTTAGCATACACTATACACGTTTGCATATTGTTTCCAAGTAATTGTAATGAAATTACACCAATATGTTAATTAATTCATTTCTTTATGCTTTTTTTTTTTGTTGATTTTGATAAAAAGTAATATGAACTTATTCCAAATATTGTCAATCGACAATAATCATTCATTTTAAAAACCACCATGTAAACCGATATGTATTGATGACCTTCATCTTGTTTTATTTTTATCCAATGAAATAATGGGAATTTTACACCAATCGAATTGCAAGAAATTATTTGTCCAATGTTTGCTCTCATAATGTTATTTGTAATAATGTTGTATAAAAAGATTCGGTAACTAGTCATACACAAATTTTCAAGAATTTTAAATTAAATTTTCTATAATTCTACTGAAAGATTATATAAGGTACAACTTCTTTCGTTCATTCATTCAGTTGTATTAGTAATTAATCATGTACTTCTTTGATATATCCCAAGGTTCAAAGGAGTCTTCTCAGAACAACAATGTTAACAATTGAGTTGGAATAAATATAAGTAGTCATAGATTTCATAAGAAGTAGATGATATTTCAAGACAAAGAATTGTAATATGATGAAATAGATGCTTCTATGAAAATAAATTTATCAAAAATTTAAATATTTTTTAATGGTTACTGTGTATGTAGGCGTAACTTGAGTTTGAGTGTTCAAAATATCGTAGTAATACAACAGTATCACTAGTTAGTATCACGTTTTATAGCTTGTTGTTCTAAATGAATCCAGTAAATATGATATACGATGTCACCATTATTCTTAGGAGACTCAGTTTTATCGTGTTTAACCAGTTGAAATTCAAAACACCATTTAGCTAATAAATATTTCCATGTTATAAAATATTTATGACATTTCTTATTTGTATAAAAATTCAACGAATTATCACATAACATAAATATTTTCAATAGAAACACATTCCTTAATTTTAAAAACGATTATCAGAATGATGGGGAGAAATATGTATTCCACCATAAGATCAAACTAATATCCGATTTCAAAGGTTTCTTGACGTTTTTATGATAAGTACATAAGAGTAGATAGACATTTTTTATTAGATTACACATTTAAATGATTGTCATATCATAGATACGAAATTTTTTACTGTTCAATCTATCGTGTTTTATGAAACAGTATATGCTGAAAACCATATAGCCTTGTTTACCAACTGAAAGTTTAAATGCTTAGATTCAAACTATATCTTTTGTTTGTAGGGCCAACTGATTTTGTTTGAGTGACTTAGTTGAAACAGGTGTAATAGAGTTGAAACCTTCTACCTATAACCAGAAAGCCAAGTAAGCATAAGCAATTTAGAAATACCTTCCTGGACTGTCTAAAATCCACATAGATGAAACGAATAAAATAAAGTATCGAGAAAAATGAGAAACACCACTTTAAGTTATTAATGATGATAACTAATAGCCGTCTATACATTTGATGAATTTTTCTAGTGGATTCTGAGACCTTAAAGAATGAGGTATAAGTGTTTACATCTTCAGAACTGCTAGCTGTTATGTCTTAGTGAAGATTAGGTTATGGGTAAATTCTGAGATCCATTAATGCAATAATATTATATATATATTCTTATCGTATAACTATTCAGTAATTAGCTTATGTATATCTGTATTCCTCATTTCGATCTATAGATTATTATTATTATTATACGTCTTACTATTCTAAAATTATACTCAGTTTATTAGTTACAGTCTCACACCTTCACAGTCACCTTTTGGCTTGATCTTGTATAAATCTTATTTCTTATTTTATGATGTGATACGGTGTTTGGTTATTATATAAACCAAGTATGTTTGAAATAATTTGCATAGTGGGAGCTGTTATTGGCGTTCTCGACTCAACTGGAAGGGCTAGGAGAAAATAGGACCAATAAGAACATTAGGCTGCTCATACCCGTCTAACGTCATTGGTTTAGTATAGTACTAAGATTGTACAAGCCGCATTTCGATTGGCGAATAAATCACGTAATAATTAGCCGGGCTTAAAGTCACAACACTAGTTACCATCATCTCTGCATATATTGGCTATGTGTTTGTTTGATGATTATATTTTACTAGAAAAACAATCTATAGATTAATGTCCGTAAAATAGATCGATGTATGCATGTTAATACTGTCGTAACTACAAAAGAGTTTTAACAACAGTTAGCTATGCATAAAATAAAGAATTTTGAATATAAATAACCGAATTAAAAATTGAATCGATTATGTTTTTGAAAAGTGTATTTTTTTGTTTGAGTGGAAATTAGTTTTTCCCCCTCACTTAGTGAAACATTCAGTTTCCGTTTTTTTCCCATTTAAAATCTAAAATTAATAATAATTACTCTTCGTTTTTTTTTCATTTACTTCAACTTCACTAACGTTTACGAAATAATACCGTATAGAAACAGGGTTGTATTATTTAGAAGAAAGAATTGATTACTTTTTGAAGTGCTCAATTAGTTTAATTAAACTCAATGAAAATTAACATTTTTTTAAAAGAACGAAAAATAGTAAACCAAGGTACAATTTAAAAATATGCCTAAAATCATGATATTGTTTCTTTTATAACAATTTGTTCACAAATTTACTCTACTGTTATATTGTAAGTCACAGTATGGAATCAATTAAATGAAGATAGATACAGAAATCATCAGACTATTACCCAATGATCTAGAAGTTAAGTAGTCATGATCTATTCCAGTATTGGTGGATACAATCTGCTGTTGAGTCAAAGTTATAAACTAATAGAATCTCTCAAATATAATTCAGTTAAACATTTATTATTTGCTAGTTATTAATAATCTATTACTTTAATTGTAATTCACTTGGGAAATAAATAATTTGTAATTAACCACAATCTAGATGAATGATATTATTATTACTAGTAGTTCACTTTTTCTTCTGCTTAAAATGTAAACGTTCGATCCTGTGTTGATAAATGAATAAATCAGAAGAAAATTTCATGGAGATTTTAGTAATTTTATATTTGAATTTATCAGTCAATTGAAGCTAGATTACCTTGGCATACCTGAAAGCACTGGATGGCCATTTCGTCCTATTGTGGGACTCCTCAGCAGTACCTTTATTTTAATTATTCTACTTATCTATTTTTATTATCTCAAACTAAGTAATTTGATTTTATACATTCAAATGTATCTTATTATGTAGAACATTATTCAATTGAGTAATAGTGACATCATTTTTGTATGTTTATTAGTGAGAAATTGACTATTTATAAATGAAGATAAGAAGTTATAAACACATATTTATCTTTGTATTGGATAGTACTCAATTACTAGTTTGCATTGAAATTAAAAATTAATGGTTATGATCTCTTTTCCAAAGGTTGAACACTGGTTACCTAATTAGAATGTTTTTTTTGTATAATAATTTATATTTGAGATATTGTGTAATGTAGTGAATTTTTACTTTAATTCAAGTCGTCATGACTTGAGCACAGTTAACGAAAAATTAAGAGACTTTAAATATATATATATATATATATATATATATATATATATATATATATATATATATATATATATATATATATATGGGCTCTATATGTGATAACTGTTCAACAGCAACAAAAACTTTAGTGATAAATTTTGTTGAATGTAAGTAAGTTCAAAACCTATTTGTAACAACAACAGATTTTTGTAGGTTTTATAAAGTTCTCAAATTTTCATTTGGTGATGACCTCAATACATACTAAACAAGCATACTGAGTTACAAGTAAGTTCTTTTCTAAATAGTTTAATGATATTCCTCTATTTATAGAACATTGTATGTTAAATTATGATAGAGAGATGGTATAAAGAAATAGTGAGAAAAAAATGATCAAATAGTATTCACTTTCGAAAATAATAAAATTTAAATTTCTTTCAGTGTTCTCATTCTGTAAACTGTTGAGTTTGTTTTCAGTTTCAAAGTCCTGTAATTGATAATTTTTCTTATTGAGATCAGGAATCGATTGATGTTAGATCATCACTGAAAATCTGGAAGTACTAATATGTAAAGTAAAACATTAACACCGTTAGATTCCGGCTTAATGGTCTAGAGTTTAGACGTTCGGCCGGGAGATAGAGGGTCCTAGCCTTGAATTTCAATTGCACAATCGTGAATGCGCACTACTGAGGTGTCCCATACTAGGATGGAACGGCCATTTAATGCTTCCAGGTTTTCAACGGTAGTTTAACATCAATCGATTCATGAACTCAATCATAAAACTTAACAATCTCATCAGCTCCATACTGATAATAAATGATAATTAACAAATCTAACATCACCATGTGATTATGAAAAACTGATAGACATTTTTCTTAATATTAACAAAATGAACTTTTTATATTCATAAGAGATTTTACTGAATATTTTACTTTTTAAACCAAAATTTATGGTATGATTTCCATGACTTGTGAGAATTAAATTTTAAAAAAGACTTTAGCGCTTTTATCTTCAAGACATCATGCAGTTCATTTAAAATCTAAATTTATTATTCTTTTATATTAAACTTATTAAATAAATGAAAGTATTCCTTAATAGACCCAATTTTATATTCACTATTCAACGTAGATCTTTATAATGAATAGTTTTTGTGATATTTTAACACTCCAGTACTGTCGATTCTAATGAAAATAATTAACAATACATATAATGTATAGGAGCCAGTTATAAGGAAAAAAAATCATTTTTAAATAAAAACTTGTTCATTAAATCAAGTCAGATAAACTAGAGTGGGTATATCTCATAGATAACTAAGTGCTCTATTCGAGATAATTACACCATAAATTTAAACTTCCAAACTTATTTAAGTGACAACTTCAATGGTTGAGATCATGAGTCAATTGA